CTCTTCTCAGCCTCTGGTTGTTATTCAAGATGGGGTCATCTGATAGAAAATGGGGGGCTTTTATCAGCATAATTGATTCAAGCGCCACAGTGCTGCGCTGCGTTTTCTCTCTGTTATTAATCCACGGCCCGGGTTTAATGATTTATTAATTACATTGTGTGAGTTTGAGTGTGTGTTCACATCACCTGGCTCTGTCAAATGGGCCTAATGATGCTGCTTCAGTTTCCCAGCAACATCTCCATCAAACATGCACTTACATTTTCTATTCCATCTATGCAACCAGCACCTGCCTAACACCACATAAAATAGCACATAATGAATGCTTTAAAATGTGCACTTCTATATAAATTAAGCAACCAGGACATCAGTAAATGCCCACATCAGGGTGTGTTTGTGGCTGTTAATGAAAACTTTTTTCAGTAATCCAATGTCTTGCTGACTGTCAAATGTTACAGTTCAGAGCAACATCTGTGACACACTTGTAAACAGCCGACAATATCAGCGCTGTGTCTAATTTATTGGATGGAAAATTGTGACACAAGGCCCACTAACCCAGTGTACTAAGAACTTCTGGAGGACTGCTGAAGGAGGAGTAGCTCCCTAACTCCAGTTTGAACTGGTCAGAACTTTTTTTATCAGCCTCCAAGTTGAATCCACAAGGAGACAACTTGAAGCGTCTCGCATCCTTCCAGACAAATCTGAGTCCACAAACACCTGGGAGTGCTCTCCACTTATAACAGCAGCAGCAAGGACGTAGCTTGTGATCTTAGTTTTATAACACCCTGGCACCAAATTTAGGTCAGAGCGAGACAAGTGATGACTCCCAACTGTTTCATGGAAACCCACAGTATCAAGGGGTCAAGGGAAGAAAAGAAAAAAATCAGACCCCCACACACACATCAAAAGGTAGATCTTTTATTCTAAGCATCAAAGTGCATTATTCCACTATGATCAAAGCTACAGCACGGCGGGTAGCTCAGAGCTGTTGGAGAAATTGAAATTTAGGTTTCCGCTTGCTCGCTTTCCGCTACCCTAGTCCTGTCTCCTGTCTCTGCTGTGTCTTGGTGGGTGCGGAGGATATGCATTAAAGCGCTATAGTTCCTGTTAGCTTTGCCCAGTGCTATATATGGTATTTCTATGTTTGCTTTAGCACAAAATTATACCACAGGCTACTAGCCAAAGAGTTACATATAGATATATAGTGTGAGTGGGAAAGAGAAAGAAATTGGGTATTCCCCATGCCACTGTGATTAAGATAACTGATGCAAGGTCAAGAGGTTAATTTCAAAATCTACTTTTCTGCAGATCAGATCAGTGATTGCCTGTATAAAACTGTAATCTATAGTATAATTACTATATTAACTAATAAGGAGTTCGGTCTAGACCT